CAATTAAATATGATCAATCTGCTAGTTACTCGTAACAAGAAAGTAACGATATTGGTCTTTGTATCCTTTAAAAGTGTCCCTTTCTAACTTTCAACTAATAATTTCTGCTGTGACCGCAGAATCACAATACAGCGTATTTTATTTTCTTCAAGATACCATTTTAGATGTCACGGTTCTTATTTGATTTCAGCAAGCTTACTGACATAAATTCAACCACATAGCTAAAGCTTATAACACATTGTTACAAAACAAAAACTCTGATAATCACAGTGCGACCTAATTCTCTTTTGCTGATTTTTTTTATATATAGATGTCAACTTTCCTTCCTATCTTTGTGTTATTACAACTTCTCTACCAAAGCTTTTAATGCTGTTTTCTGTTCGTTTTTTCCATTCCAAAATATACATGCAAGCGCAGTTTTGTCCGACTATGTCACTTTGAATGTGATAAAATCTATTTTTAGTCTAGTTCAGTAAAAGTCAAGCAATTTAAGGCCCCATACACTTTTTCTTAAGATGATAGATTTACGTCTCTTTTTAGCAATTTCGAATTTGTGGTTGTTTGTGGTCAGCAGTACCAGGCCAAAATTGAAAACCTTTTACGTAAAAAAGCAGCCCTCAAAAGAATTAGACAATATGCAGGTGTTGTTTCATGGTTCATCGCTAGAGCCGACAAGGTACGAGAAGACGTGACTCCTCTCAGCCGTGTAAGTCATGTTGTATTCATCCGTAACTAACAGAGCTTTAGATTTAAGGTTAGCGATATGCCGTAACCACAAAATATGATATAGTGAACAAACAAAATAGACAAGACGACTAATATTGCTATTTGCTGAGCTTTTTCGTGAGGAAAAATCGTTTTTCTCTCGATCTTTTGATAACCTATTGGATGGTTTTTCGGTGTGACCATATTTTTAGCACTGGAAATAATCGTTACTATCCCACAATCATCATGTTAATATTGGTTCTGGAAATATCAATTGTTGAAATTCCGACACAAAACTAAGACGAACAAGGTATTGAAAGAAACGTTTTCATTGATATAAAGAAGGTCTTCGGGCTCATATCGAAATGACATACGGTAATCAAAGGACAGTATCATACAGTTAAAACAGGTTACTAAAACTGGAGAGACTTAAAAACCAAAAGTTTTGCGAAGAAATTGAGCTTGTGCTGTAAATCACACAGCTGTTTGGGAATAAATGTAAAAATAATTGAATTTACAGTGAAAGAGGTAAATTCTTCAGCTTTTCGTCTGGATTCAGGAAAAGTTCAGAAATGAAATATTCTAAGCCAGAGGTAATTTTCCGTTCGCGTTTTCAGTCAGCGTCTTTTCCTAAATGCCAGGCACTTAAATGTAATATCATGTGCTCCATGTAAGACATTGATTCAAGAAAGAAAAAGTTGCCAACTATGTTTGACGTAGGAACAGGCTAAAAATTGATTTAGCCAAAAAGTAAGTGATTAGTTTCTATCTGCGACCGAGTCGCTAAAGTCGAGCATTATCTGCTAGCAGTCTTACAATATGTACAAAGAGTTTCATCTTCGCTCTTTCAAACAAGAGAAAAACTGTCGTTAACTATGAAGTAAGTGTAAGGGCTTCCATCAAACATCAAGAGTCCACAATTACGCCTTTTAACACGCCACTATCGGGGGTTTCAATTACAGCCGGTTATCAGCGGTGTACCGCCGTCTGGGAGACCTCTTACCGCCCGTCTGTGTTTGTTTGTTTCGTCTTACGACCCCTTTTCCATTTAACCATAGGCAGACTCTTAAGGAAAAATTATTAAAACACCTGCTCTATGACAAAAATTTGTTTTCTTGATTATGACTGAATCACTGATCAAGGTTGTTTGAGGCAAAAAAGCAATAGGTGAATTACGGCAGGACGTGGGTTACAAGTTATGGTTCAGTGAATATTCTAGAAAGTCATTCTTTAAAAAGCATTACCGTTGGGTAAGAATTTAAGAATTTTTTTTGTGTATAAAGATTCGACATAAAATTTACTTTCTTCTAACTCATCATCATTTCTATTTTCATGATGTCATCAATCCATGCTGCTCTTGTCGCTTTTCACCAAACCCGCGCCTTAATTTAAGGAAAGTGGGAGTATTTTGATGCATTAAGTCTTGTTCTTGTAATCTTTCTCATCTTTCTTCTTCTTTAACCATCTTTGCTCTAACTGTTCGCATTTGAAATTTAGCTTTGGGCAAAATGAATGAATCACAGTTTCATGGCAGAGCTCTCCGTCATCAAAACAAAAAGCAAATCAACATAAGTAAAGGGGGTTGGCACTACGTCGGTGTGAGGTATTACAACAGAAAGGGTTTCCGGAGCTGACGTTTCAAGCGTTAGTCCTTCGTCAGAGCGAATGACAAAGACCAATTAACATTATCTACTCATTTGAACAAACAAATTTCCAAGTAACAATAGGTATTTTTTTCCTCCTCAAAACGCTTTTTTATCACAATGGCGGAAAGAGCGTCTTGAAATACACTGTGGACCAGCTAATCACTGTATTTGCGGGAAATTTAAATATTCGGGAAGGTAGAGAGACGAGGAGGCAGAATCTCCCGCACTGTAAACAGCCCTCTGAAATACTGGTGAAATCAGTGTATTTTTGTAATTGCCAAAGTGTTCTTTGACCCACGCTCTTTGTTAAGAAGTACCACATCTTTTTTTAGTTCATCCATCAATAGAAATAATTAGCAAAACAAAGTGAACGCCTAAAATCGTTCTTGTGAATCGAGGTAACAAATTTGACGCGATGTTGTGGTTCATCTCTTATGATGAGCGCTTTGCGTTCGTTGTGAAACAGCAATGGCTTCTTCAGTGTGAAATAATTTTGTTGTCGTTAAATTTCGTTTATTCCCTTTCTCCATCCTCGCACCGAGAAAATTGTATCATAATGGACCAAAATGTAAGTTTTATTGTTGCTTATTTATTTGCGTGTACTGAGACAGAATGCGCGGGTCCGCAACCTTCGTTTTCGACTGATGCGCTTGACTGAGAACCACGAGACAAAACAAAAGATAATAACAGAAGTAGGAATGCTACAAGCTATGAAAATTGCACGCCTTTTCTAGATGACAGTGGTTTCGCAAAAATTGCGTAATCTGTGGGATGAGGGACGAACATTCGAGGAATATCTTACGGAATTGCCAGGCGCTTACGAAATGAAACGCTTCTTGTGAACGGATTCTTCGCAAAAAAGTCTGAACGAGATCTTAGAATAGAGAAGTAACACATTCAATTTGTTTTGCTTGCCAGGAGCTTGTTTGGAAAGAAATTGCGTCCCAGATTTCACTTGCAGACTTCACTTCACGTAAACAAACTGAGGTAAATTTCTTTGAGGGGCATTTGTAACTCGTTAGGATTCAGTTTTTTCCATGACGAACGCTCTTTAGAGAATCTAGGCATTTCTTTGAATAATGATTCTTGCTCTACTGATAAATTCAAAACAGTAGCACAGTGTAATTGAGCTAACGGACATAAAGATTTCCCGCTGATGCAGGCAAAGAGATTGTAACTACATAATTTAGATAAAGAAGTAAGTTTCTAAAGAAACATGATTTCAATGCTTTGGATTGCCTAAAACAATTTTCTTCGCTCGAAAAATATGCCCGTCAGCATTACAAAACTCTGCCTGATCACGTTCTCCTTCACTAATAGCTTTTCATCAGAATGGACAATTGTTTGGAGTGTTTTCGATGTCAGTCGTCATATTTGCTAAGGAACATTGGCAAATGAAATTAATTCTATGTTTCTATATTTCTTAAGCATCATAGCACCCGGTTAGTTTGAGAGAAGTCTAGCTTAGGTCCATAATGTTAATGGATAGATGTAAATCATTTGTATTACCTCAGAATCTAACGCCTTAAAACTTTAACGCATTTGCTGAGATAACCAACATCAAAAGGGTCAAAATAAACAAAAAGGGAACAAGGATGGCGTAAAGAAACACGAGCTGCAAAGGAAAAACTTAAAAAATCTTAAGTGTAGCTAAATTTACCAACCGTGAAGTAGCATCCAGGATGAGAGAACTCATGAACTGTTTCAAGTTATGTTCCCGTTTCTTTTCACAATTTTTTTCTTTTCTGGTTTTTCAAACGTTAAGAAAAGGTAACGTAGAATTCCATGAGGGGTATTAAGCCACTAACAGTTCTCGTGGGAGAAAACGTTATTCTGTCCTGTCCATTTTCCGTACCACTGGCAAGAAGCCATTAGAATTAATACCGACAACGTTTTATGCTCGCACAGTACAACAAAAAGTTAAGAAAACATTGATGTCAATTATTGCTTTAAGATAACTTTTTCATACTTTTAAATATAGACGGGGTTTTTCTTTTTTATGTGAGATTCTTGGACGGAATAACAAAAGCCGTGAAAACTGAACTTTGTGCCTTCGGCAGTTATAAGTACACGTGAAAGCGCATTGAAGCTAAGCTAGAACATTCGCAAAACAGATTGACTGACAGGCCAATGGTTTGTTTACTTGTTTGTTCATTTTATCAATCGAGGGGATAAAAATCAATGCTGGATTTACTCGATCCATTGAACCAGCGAATCAGGGAGTTCACGATTAGCTCACATTGCCCGGCGGTGGTGGTTGCCCACAAAAAAACCGCCAGCTACGCAAGCTAACCACGCGTCAAACTATTTTTGCTGAGTGAAAACTGTTAACTAAATATAACTGAAAAGACGTGCGTAGATCAAGGATACAACAAGTCACGCCTGTTTCTGATTTAATGTCAAACAGAGAGTTAAAAAGTAGGGTTCCGTGTCAAGTCTTGTTTGGCAACCTAGACTGTCATCGACTGTGATCCATGGAGCGATTAACATGGCGTTAAGTTGTTCACCGACTGAATAATATCGCAATTAATTGCCCGGGAGTTGATTGACTGACTGATCAATTGGCAGATTGATCGATTGACTGATTCATTCATTCATTAGTGAACCGATTGACTTCACATCTGATACCTTCTTTCTTATTCGGTCTTTAGCTATCAACTTGTCCAGCAATGGCCGAAAACAATACGTCCTGGAACCACACTAACAACACAAATGGCAATGGTCCTGCGCCACCAGGCCCTCCAATGCAAGAGATGACCGCAGAAGATGTTGCCGCTAATGTCTTCTTTTGTATCTTGGCCGTCATGATAGTCTTTGGTAACGCTCTTGTGATTGGTGCATTCCGAGTGAATAGGAGACTGCGCACAACCACTAATCTGCTGTTGATGTCGTTGGCAGTGGCGGACATGCTTATTGGATCAATTTCAGTGCCATTGTGGGTGTACATATCGATAACTTACAGTTTTAGAGGAAATCTTTACAAGTTTTATATGATCTTCGACGCTATTTGTGGGGTGTCGTCGATTCTGAATCTCACAGCCATAAGTTTGGAGAGATCTTATGCCTTGCTAAGTCCAATAAGTCACCGGAACATCAGTAAACGTAAGTACCTTGAGATTACAGTTAGGAACTAACCAAATCCAAACTGAAGCTTTAGAAATGTTGCTGCAAAAGTTTTCATAGGAAGTACAAAAGTTGCACCTAATGCAGTTAGCCTAATTTCAGTTCTGGTAAATGGTTTAGCCTAGCCTTCAAATTTTTCATTCCAAAAAAAAGAAGGCTTAGCACACTTTCATATTCTTTTATTCTGTTTCGGTTACCTCTTCTGAAGTTCAATCGTTCTAAATTAGCAAAATGTTTCTTATTTTTGAGTCAAACAAACGTTCATTGTTTGCGTTAACTTCACTTTCAGAAAATGTTACCATGAAGTGTTACCGCATGCGAATAAACGACACCTCGCATGAACAATAAAAGAGTCTATGTAATCTTGAAAGGAGCGAGTTATATTTAAATAATTTTCTCCAAGTTGTGAGTAAGATTTCTTCAATGTAATCGTTATTTGTTGAAACGGCGCAACTAGAGAACAAATGACGAAAAATCCTGAACCTTCTCTGACCTTTCCGTTCATCTGCTTACAGGTTGGATCTTGGCCATCATCTTTTTTGCCTGGGCTTTAGCGATATTTGCTGGTTTGATGTCAGAAATAAAGGCTTTCAAGAAATTTTTGGGTATCATTGTAACAGCAGTATTTTTTTTTGTACCCCTGGCTATTATTCTGGGAGCCTATGGAACCATCTTTCACATAGCCAGGGCGCATGCCCGTGGAGTTGGGAAAAGCTCTTTTAAAAAGGTAATGGGATTTCTGTATTTAATTTTTTTTTTATTAGATCAAAAGCGAAGTTGGCTCTGAGCAGCCATATTCCTTTTTGCAGCTTTGATTAAAAAAACAAAAACTTCGTTTTAGTGCCAAAATGAAAGGGCACGGATTTTATTTTACAGTTTTTAGCGTCAAACCCAAAAATGAACGATATTTTTCGTCGGTTATATGCAATGCCTCAACGTTTAAATTGGGAGAAAATCTTTTCAAATTTGTAAAGCTTTGTCTATCTTCAAAAAGAAATTGGGTTAAGAAGTGCCTGTGCGTGCTGAATTTCCCGATGCTATTTTTTATTGGTCTTGATTCGCTCTAAATGTTTCACATCACAACTTATTAACAAATACGAAGGGTCAGAGGCTCGTTTTTCTATAGTTTCCTCCCCTTAACAGTATTTGGCCTCTTTTAACAGAAGTCAGCTTGGAAAGGTAATTTTTCTCTCTTTAACTCTAAATAGATAGATGTTTTAATTCTTGGTAGATAATGAAGAAATAAGTAGTGTGGAACAAATCTTTCAAATGTACAAATCCGTTTTCCACCACTGAGGGATCGAGTAATTACGTTCAATGGCTGTTACTGCTAAATAATCAAGTGAAATTTGAGAAGAGGTTGCCGCTTCCCCCAGCTCAAAGAAATCAGGGGAGCACCCTCTCCTGAAGTTTTGGAACGGGGGACGAATGTACAAAGGGAGCACAATCGAAACTTGTGTGGGATTATCATTCCTGAAATTAAGGAAGAGAGAGAAAAAAAGACAAAGTATTTCTATTTTTTGATCTGCGAAAATGCAGTCCTATGCAACGATTACTCAGTTGCCAGAAAAATTACTTTAACCTGTTGACCTGATGTTTAACCAAACTGTAGAGTAATCTAGAACTGCAATCTTGGTAGCCAAGTAATTTCATTTTGCCTTATTTTTAGGATCTGCGTATCGCTACAACTGTCGCTGTGGTCATCGGCCTTTTTGTCATTTGCTGGACGCCATTTTTCGCGCTCAATTTTGCGTTTTCAGTTTGTGGCAACATAATGTTCAAAACAGCTGGATGCAAAGGCCTCCTGGTACTACCACAAATTATTCTAAACATCAATAAATGGTTACAATATGGAAATTCCGTTTGTAACCCCATAATCTATGGTCTACGCAATAAAGACTTCCGACGAGCGTTCCGAAAAATTTTACTGAGTCTTTGCTGCAAAAAGGTCCCGATATCAGACTACAGTAAGAGCGCGTATGGACGCACTGTGCGAAGCACCTATCTTCAGCGCGACTCAAGCATTGAAAACTCACGATCTGTCATCGTACCACCGCACACAAACGGCTCGGGAATGTTTGATACAAGAGGAAGCTACCGTAGAGCGATTCAGAGTGGTCGCACTAAACCTATCAAGCTCAAATTCACAAAGAAGACTCTAACGGATGGTTTGTTGTCGTTAAACGTGGATGCATTCCACAGCCTTTCTTCTGGCGACTTAACTTTGTCTGGCACCCTTTTGAGCACTCCATCAAGTTCTCCAGCTGAGCTTTGTAACCCCGCCTTCGAGGAAGATCAGACGGAAAATGGTATCCTTCCGATTGACCAAGCCATGCCACAACGGGGCTTCGGTGAAAAGCTGTCAGGATCGAATCATTCTTTAAATAAAAGTGCTCCAAACGGTACCCTGAAGAATAGAAAAACCCGTGTTCATTTTACACCTTCGGACAGTGATGAAAAGGACGAGGTTGAAAACCAAACCGTGTCTACCCTGGCACCTTTTGAAAGACAACGTTCTCTCTCAGAAATATTCGTTCGACCCAATGGTGAAACAGACAGTCTTAAGCGGAAATTACGGTCATCGTTTTCTTAGTAAGGCTATCAGTGTTGGCTTTAAGAAGCATTTGTTTTAGCCGGCAAACCAGTTGGCCATGATTCATGCTGGTGATTGGCAACAAATTTAGCGGCAATTACTGTGACTGGCGGCTGGAAGTCTAGTTAACTAAGTCTCGGTTTTTGTTCCAGAATACGTTTACAACTATCATGCGTAATCATGAACTCCCAGATGTATATCTATAAAGGGCTAAGTCCAGGTTTAGCTGAGGACAGTTTTCTGTATATAATCTTCGTGAAGAGCTCACTCCATCTCACAGGATGCAAAGCTGAGACTGGATATGAGATCGAGAAACAAAATTTGCAATCCCTAAAGATCACTTAGTCCCCGTTCATTGATGAAGTAAGAGATTCTATTATCACGAACTAAACTTTCCATAAAAAGAATAATTTTAAAGAAGCTGTATATAAGAACTGAAAGTTTTGCTTCATGTAGGACTGGAACATGCTCGCTATTATTTTTAGTATTTTTGTTTAAACCCGCCCAGTTCAACCCTTTGTGACTTTGACTTTCATCAGAGACATAAAGTAAATACACATGTGAAGAATGAGAGCAACTTTCGAACGCTCTCAGCAGTTAGATGTAAATTTTATGATTCTCGACGCGTTTAAGTTAAAGGTTTTATTTGGATGATTTTATTTTGTAGCAAGAGGGCAATAGAACGAATGGATCAGGTAAATGTTGTTATGTGAATATTGATAAGAAATTAACCCTTTAACTCCCATGAGTGACCAAGACAGAATTTCTCCTAACAAAGTCAGTACAGTATCAAGCAGAAAAGTTATGAGAATAAAGAAAAATATCAATTAGGGGATTATCGGAACCAACATTATAAGAATTGTATGGCAGACAGCGACTGAGAATTTTTAACGAGATCTGGGAGTGAAATTAAAAAATTCCTAATTCTCAGAACCAACATTATAAGAATTGTATGGCAGATAGCGGCTGAGAATTTATAATGAGATCTGGGAGTGAAAAGGTTAAAAGCAGTGTTTCTAACACTTAAAAGTAGTTACACTGTATGAAAGAAAGTAGGCAATTGTACAGGTGCAACTAAAACTTGTAAGTTCCCAATTCTGTAACAAAATTTCGCTCAAGAGAGTCCACGATATATCGCCTTATTTTCGAGTCACTTTTCAACTCTACGAGGTTTGCCATTTTACCATTGTGAATTATAGCCTCTTGGAGTAAAAGATCATCACAAAGAAATATTTATATTACCTTGTTGCAGTCAAGTTTACTCAAGTCTCCATTTGCCACCAAAGACTTTTTGATCACATTTCCCCTTTTATTACCTCACCTTTGACTCTTTCGGATTTCTTTAAACAGTTACACTCAGATAGGGCGCTTTCCTTCCCGAAAGGAATTTCAAAATCTCCTGTCTTGGATTTGAGGGAACCGGAAAAAGCCCCGTAAAAGTTTCCGTAAATCAAGAGTTATGTTCTGCACTTCTGTTTGTTTCTGAGAATATGGAAATTTTCGGATTATTCCTTAGTATGCCGCTAACAAGAGATCTCTTCGTCAACAGTTTCCTGAGCATACTGATAGCTCCCTCCAATTCAGAAATTATATGGCTGTACTTGATACACGGTAAATGGTACCAGAGCTGGTGGTTTTTTTACTTTCGATAACATCAGAGTCTTTTTACCCAGACCTGGGTTACATGAATTTGCTTTTGTCAACTCTTATCCGAAAATCTTCCTTAAACATTCAAGGAGTTCCAGTTTCTCTTGAAATTCTAATAGTAAATTTTGAGATTGATGATCATTCTGTCAAATTGGGCCTATTATATCAAAACAGACTGATTAGTGATGCAAATCTATTACACTCATGGCTCGTTGAATGCCCAATTGCACCCGTTTTCGAATTTGTGGAACAGTTACATCGACTGTCTTTTGTCTAAGGCCCCATCCACACCAGAGCGTTTTCGATCGAAGACACATCAGTTTTTTTCCGACGCAGTTTTGCCCAGCTGCATCCACAATAGTACTCCTGAAAACGCTTATTTAAGCAGGACCTTTCGAAAACGGCTTCAGTGAAACGTGATGACAACGGTTGATTTTTAAAAGGTTCCGTTTCTTGAGAGGACAAGTGAAAACGGAGACGAAGAATACTCAACGTACTGTGATCTACTGTCGCATATGCATTTACGTCTGTAGGGTGTTAAGTCGATAGACAAAAATGTTTCAAATTTTAATCGTTTTCAAAAGCATACGCAGCAGTTTGTCTCGTGTCAGCAACATAAAAAACGTCAGTACAGTTGAAAATATTTTGCTTCGTTCGTTTTGGGACGAGGAGATGTCCGAAATTGACTCGTCACGTTACGAACTTACTTGGCCCGGTTACTCAGTTATTCCGCGGGAACTCCCGTTCTCTTTTGTGCTGAAGCTGTTAGATTGTTATCTAAGTAAATAAGGGTCATTATGTCTGGCGTCAAACCTTTGCCTTCGGCTGTATTATTATATAATGAAAGCGTCATCTTATGCACTAACGATTGTTCCTCTGAATGTAGAGACGACAGGTCCGCCATGTGGTGCCGACACTGGCGGTTCATCTTCATTTTATGATCAGAGAGAGCCGGCTGTTGGTGTGGTGTCATTTGGACATATTGCAGTCGGTTATTAACTTCAATCCGAGCCAAAAAAAAAAAAGAAGCAAACATGGTGTGCTTTTAAAGGCATTTAGATGTGCCTTGGTCTTTGTCTGCAACGCTCCCTCCAGCTGCAATCTTTAGTAATTGTTTTGGAATCTAATTGAGAGCACGTCTTGTCGATTGAAGCAAAGTTGTCGGTATCCATCGCTGTGGGAGCCCTGCTCTGTCAAATATTTTATTTTGGAATTACCTTCACGCCTGCTCGGCCGTCAGTATGATTCGGTCATGTGTAAATTTATTTTTTACTTCAGTGGTCGACATATATCGCTGGTAAAAGAGAGTTTACCTTCGTTACATTCAAAGGTAAATATTGATGCTCATTGTTACGTTAAAGTCTAGTTTTACAATGGTGAAGCCTTGTTTACATTCGCTTTCATTTGCATTGTTTATATCATGTGCTAACTTTTAGCAATTTATGTAGAAATAGCTTAAGTTTTTCGTTGTTTTTCATCGGCGCCAGTTTCATATTTGGCACATGTTTACAGATCTAACAAATATTCTATCGGGTATTGCGAAACAACACTTGTTCTGCGCGCAATAAATATCTGCTTTACCACAAATTTCCATATCAATTGTCTAACAAATGTTTTGGTTATATGATATTCCAAATTTTCCATTGTGAATGTTTTTGTAGCCTTTTGGTCTACTGTTTTAGAGACAAAATGAGTTCATACTCGTTAGACTTTTTTCAAACCTGAACTTTGGCAGGTGATCGACAGTTATAAATATTTAATGTTTGTTAAAAACATATCTAATCCTTGCATTCTTATTCCCAGTTTTGATAGATTAGTCAGTTTAGCTAAATACACAACAACAAAAAAAATGAAAAAAACAAAAACACCAAAAAAAATAATTCTCAAAAATAAAAATAAAACAAAATTGATTGAGCAAGCTTTAGTTCAAGGATAGCCCAAATGCCAAGTTGGCAGGCCTAGTTACTTGAGCAAGAATCTTTGCATTTGTCTTCCAAACATTTCCAATTTGCCTGGCATACACAATTTCTTTTCAAGATCGAGTCTTCTATTTGGAATGAAGAATGTGAATTCAGTTAGATATTCATATTTTGCTCATCCAATTGGGTGTTATTATTTTTCACAAACCTGGGTGATTGGTGATTCAGACCCTTCCTTATATTGTTTGGCAGAGGTGACAACAATGAGTTGCTTCAATACATAAGCACTTGAACAAACCTTCAATTTACAGGCTAAGGAATTGTACATTTCCATGGAAATACATGCAGTATTCTGCTATAACTCTGAATTAAAGCTGGATTAATATATTTTTTCCCTGGTTGTAGGGTTGGAATCAAGATATTTCAGTGTAAGATTTATATTTTAGACCCTGTGAATTGGGTGTCTCGAGACTTCATCTCCAAAAACTACATGGAACACAGTCATTTTTGCAGATGAGATGCTCATTTTAAGAATTACTTATACTTTACTCTTCATTACATTCAACTTGGCCAACAATGGAGTGTCAGGTAAAAATGCAATATTTATGTATTTGTATAGATAAAAACACGAGTTTGAGTGCAATTTGGTGTTAATAAGCACAAGTAAATTTTTGGAAGACAACAAAATTGCATGAGCCCATAGGAAGAGAACAATTTGTAGTCTTTGAAAAGTTCACCAGTGCTTAAATGTATTTACAGGAAATTACATGAGAAATCATGTTATTACTTATTAATAATTTACAATAAGAAAGCATCACAAAAAGTCAAGACAGGCAAAGTTTTAACAGTGTGCATGCTATTTGTAATATGGCTCTGTGTGACAATTTTGCACTTGTTTTACAATTTTGCATTCCTGTTGCATGAAAAATGCACTTGTTTTCAGCCAATCAGAAGCAGCCACCAAATAATGACTAAAGAAACGTTGAGCTTGGAGCCTTAATAAACTTCATAGCATGACATTTCCCTTTAAAATACAGAACTATCTCAAAAGGAAAATAATTAGCAGGCCCCTGAATTTTCTTTTAACATTGTTAATTGTTATTTAACAGGTCTTAAATGTAATTGTATTGCTTTATAACCAATGCTTTTATTTTCCTAGACCCCTCAGCTCCACACTTCATCAGAGAGTCAATGTATCATACTATGACCATGTATGCCAAGGTTGGAGATGATGTTGAACTTGATTGTTTGTCAGATGGCAATCCACATCCAGATATATCCTGGTACAAATACAATGTTCCCCTTTTGGAGATAACTTATCGCAAATTAGAGGACACATTTATAAAGTCTGGGAAGTTGCTTTTAAGTGACCTTCTGCTTGCAGATGCAGGAAACTATTCTTGCCATGTGAATAATTCCTTGGGCCTGATTAATAGGACATTCATACTACGCATTTATGGTGAGTTAGAGTATAATACAGTTAAAAGTTATAGAAGCTGAATTTCATTTCTTTGCAGTTTTGTTGTTTTTCTTTGAACACTTTGGCAAGATGCATCACTTTTCAGTTCAGTCAGAGTGTTGTAAGATGCAAAGGGAAAGAGGGAGCCAGGTTTACATTACTCATATGGAAACCACTGGATAAATTCTGACTGATCTTTTACAGTCTTTAATTGTGAGAAATAATTTCAAAATTATAATTGTGGATATATGAAAATCATATATGTGCACTGTGGTGAAGAAACGAATATGAGATCCTTGCAGCTATGAACACTACTGAACTAGTAGTTGAAATAAGACCTAAAAAAATTTTTTTCAGGCCCGATACCGGTGCAGCGCTCTACCAACTGAGCTAACAAGCCAACTGGGAGCTGGTCATTATGTTGGGTTCAAATAAACCATCCAAGTGATGAATAATTATTGTGGATACATGAAAATCTCATATTCGTTTCTTCACCGCAGTGCACATATGAGTTTCATATATCCACTATCATTATTCATCACTTGGATGGTTTATTTGGACCCAACATAATGACCAGCTCCCAGTTGGCTTGTCAGCTCAGTGGGTAGAGTGCTGCACCAGTATTGCAGAGGTTATGGGTTCAAATCCTGTATGGGCCTGAAAATTTTTTTCAGGTATTATTTCAACTACTAGTTCAGTAGTGTTCATACCTGTGAGGATCTAGTTTCAAAATTGTAACTGCCTGTGAATTCCACTGATTTGTTTGTTTTTGTTCTATTTTTTGTTGTCTTGTTTTTTTTGTTTTTGTTTTTGTTTGTTTGTTGTTTATTTTCTTTTTTTTGGAGGGGGGGGGGTGCCAGAGCTGCTGCCTGACCTAGCTACTCCAGGTGCTGGCAAATTAAATTTTTCTTCTCACGTTTTTCTTTAATTTTCAATGTTTAATCCAAGATCTTAGTCCTGCTACCAATAACGTTTTACTGATACCGCGCATAATGGCATTATCAACATTTTAACGTCTTATCAACGTTTTAACGTCTCTCTTAAATAGAGTCTTCAAATGGCAAACCTATTATCCTCAAGTCACTACTGACGAACAACACAGCAGTGCTAGGAGGTGAAGCAAGATTCCTTTGTCAAGTGACCAGTGACTCAGTTACGTATGTCAGATGGCACTTCAAGAGACATCATGCAAAAAGCAATGCTTTTGACAATAAAACAACAACTATTATTGAGATAACCAGCATTGCACCAGTTAAAATTTTGACTACCTTGGGCCCGAATACATTAAATGGTGACCTTTTCAAAGTGAATGCAGAGGTTTTTGTTCAGAATGTATCATTTCATGATGAAGGCGAATATATTTGTGAGGCATTCAATCAACTTGGTAGCGTGAGTTGGAGTGCATTCTTAATAGCAGTCAAAGGTACCTTTTTTTCTTATTTTTTATTTTATTTTAAGAGTATTCCTCAAAAGTAGAGAACTGCTGTCGTTGACAATGATTAACGTTTCGACAACTTAAGAAGGTCGTGACTCCGATGATGTCTCGAAACGTCCGTCGCTATCACCGACAACAGTTCCTTTCAGAGCTACTGTCACTCAAGCGATCAACAGTAAATGAAACCAGTGAAACAAGTCATTGGTTATAAGGTATGACTTTTTAGAATGGGGATCTGTTGAGGGGCGGATTCCAGCCTTTTTGCAAAGGTGATTGCGAAACGCTACAAGTAATAAATCTTGTGACAAGAAAGTCGATTGGCCAAAACCCAATAAGTTAAGGACTTTCTTTATACTGATTCCTATCAGCTGCGCGACGGTCGAAGTTGAGAAAAAGGGAGCGTCCTTAAACTAACCAAAATTTTTGTGGTTATTCATGAAGGTCCTACTCCATCAGCTACAGATCTAGAGACCAGATATGAGGCTCTGTTTGGACGCACGCAAGAGTTTCCCTTGGCTGTTATTGTAGCTATACCAGTAGCTATCTTAGTTATTTTGACAGCCTTGTTTATTAGAGCACTCGAGCGGGCCAAGCAAAGACATAGTGAGAGACAAATCAAGAGGACAGATGTTAATAGAAACTTAAGCGTCACAAGTGAGCCTTGGAACCAAAAGAAAACGGCAAAACAGGTAACAACGTTTCTTTGTTAGCATCGATAAAGAAGTACGACGTGTATGTGAATGTATTACACAACTGTTTCTCTCGAGGGATAGTCGAGTACCTCTCAGTAACAAAACGTAGTATTCTCCTTTTCAGGCGATAGTCGGTAAAATGTACCGCCTGTAGTACCTCTCATTATCGCCGGAATCTCTTGGAATTCTTGAAAGTTCAACTTGTAAAATGATCGCTCTACCGGTTTGCAAATTTCTCTGTCGCGCTTAAACAGGGAAAAACAAGCAACGACGGTGTGATGCCGCTAAATATTCGCCATGCGTAAAAAGCAAAGTTTCCATGTGCTATCTATTTGCGGAGCCTAAAACGTGAAGTTATTGAGGTACATGTTGGTGTCAAACAGGAATTTCCGTTGGTTCTGATCAGTTAGTTCTGAAGTTTAATTCAAGTGGATTCGAGTTCTTTTTCAAAAAAGAATTTTACCTCAATCTAATACTTAACTCTTTCATAATTAACTCCCTGAAGTGATAAACATGTAACTTCTCCCGGTATATCCATACATAATCTGGTAAACAGGTAATGAGAATACTCAAACTTATCGGGTGGAAGTTGTTATCTTGATCTAACGCCAAATTGTTGTAGCTGATATACATGGAAAAGTATAGTAACAAGAGTGGAGAATTAATAAGCAGATCCTATGAGTTAAAAGGTTAAAAGTCTACTTAGATAGGATATGACTGTAAATGGGTTTACTTGTTCTTTTGGGCTTAGCTCTTAATCAGTGACTCCCCTCCATTGACTCTAGACCTTTCAGTTTATGAGATAAACCTGAAATAAATAAATGGAAAGGTATTTGTACAAAGCAATCCGAGTTGACGGGGGAAAAAAAAAAGCAAATCACAGTTTAAGCAAGTTTCAGGACACTCTCGGTAATCCTAATTTTTTTACTCATTTTTAGAAAACTGTAAAAGAAATTATCATAACTGCGCCTCGTCAAACTCCAATTTACACGCGGAAACCCAGCGAAGGTAAAACTGGTCAGCAAATTACCCAGTTACCCAAAGATATGACAAGCCTTGAGGCATGCTCGGTTCGACGACCTGTTTCCTCTCAAGCCAGTGATGTAAGCAGTGAGCGATGCAGTGATGCGCTGGAACTTGAGTGGGAAGGGATTGAATTGGTCATGGAGGAGGGGTTTGAAATGATTAAATTATGCAAAGAGGAAGAAGTGTAAACACATGTGATCCATGTGAAAGAGAATCGACTGAGAAAAAAGAAACATTGGTCAGATATAGTAGATAGCGGCCAGTTGTTGTCTTCATCAGCAGATTTTTGTGAGTATCTGTGGTGTGCTCTGAGGATGGCACGTTCTTTCAAAATTTGAACTATTTTGAAATCAGTACAACTTGTAAGTTTTCTTTAAGTAACTGGGTTATATTCAAATGTGACACATGTTGTGTCATGAATAGCTTAAGTATCCCAAACTCCATATCAGTGTTCCGTGGTTTTGCAAGTTTACAAGTTCCGACTGTGATACTGCGGTACAGTACTGAAAAGAGATTGAACAAACAAGGAGCTGATCAAGTAGAAAATAAAACTGTACAAAATGATCAATATTTGACTTAGCCCGCCAATGCAGTTGCACAGATCTTTTTTGCGTCCTGTAGAAAATGATAATTGCTTATTGTCGCCAGAACCCTATTAATTTTCCGGCTTGCGATCTTCCTCGAGCGCCCGAAAAGTAATAAATTGATAATGATAATAATGGATTTGCACATATAGATATAATCGTGTGGATCACAAATCATGAAAGAGCGAAGTTGTGATCGCCACAAGAGTGAATTAGTCTCTGAAACGCACGTGTTGTGCACACGAGTAGCCACTTGGAAAATGTCTTGAACAGTATTAAAAAACTGCTCGAACGTACAGAAGAACTTACGATCGAGATCTGACCAAACAGCAGGATCAGCCAAAGAGGTTAAAGAGCGGGTTTTGTATTACTAACTGGCTAGCGGTGTTACATCGAGTCTTCGTGCCATCTTTCTGGACACAACAGCTTGTCACTAGAAACGTTTACTGCGTGTGTTGTTGAGTTTTCAGTGTTCTCTGGTAAAACTTTACGGGTAAACAAATGTGTCACTTTTTCTGCAGCAACAGCAGAGTCCCTTCACATCTTAAATTTTTATCGAATTGGACATAAGGTTGGACGTATTATTGGCTTACATAAAACCAAAATTAGTTTTCAAGTATCCACAAGTGAATCATTTGTGTAACTCTTGGAATGATTATCGTATTGTAAACGATGCAGAACAAACGCTCATACTGAATCAAGTGCAGATCACTAACATTTCTTAAAAGTCTTCGCATTGAGTTTAGTCTCATTCTCTCTTTGCAAAGTTATCACCAGACTATACCTGCAGTTGAGCGCAAAGAGTAGCGAAGGTCGTTCCCGTTCGTTAGACCTCTCAAAGTGCATCAAAACTCCTTCTGTCGTCCCTTTTACCTATTTGCCTCGTGAAATAAACTTCCTGGTTTGTCTAGAGTTACCTTTCTTTTCATTAGCGTATTTATTTCTCTGCTTAATAAAAGTCGAAGTAAATGACTTCGGCAAACTCTTCACACTGGATTCACTGCGCAAAAGTAGAGAGTTCCTCTGCCTCAAAGAAGACTGTTGAACAATTTCGTTATGTTTAAGAATTTGTTCTGCTTCAATCGAGTTAAGATGCACGCGGGGAACGAGAGCACGAAAAATGCGTTATGTTTAGGCGCTTTTTCTGGAAAAGGAAACTGATATCCTTTGTTGAGGTAGTAGCTGATGTCAGCGAAGGTCATCGTTAATTGAAATTCCATTTCTTTTTCTTACGTTTGTTGAAATTGTGAAGTTAGTGTGTAATATGTTATTTTGTAGTTTTGTCTGTAAGTCAGCTCGAGAAGGGCCTCTTAAGCATTGAAACGTATTTTGATCGTGTTTTTTGTTCGCTAGGCCGTCCACACGTACTGCAGTTGTAGTTTTAGTCATTTATTGCGCCATCTGTTAGTTTTCTCTTACAAGTCGTCGAGTATGTAATCCTTTATAAATGAAAACGTTTGCCAAGTTCGGTAGGAATTCAATCCATCAACGAGCAGTGTAAGTTGAGTCCAAGGACACCCTCGGTGATGTGTAAAGTTCTTTGAACTCATTATTTTAAAAAATGGATAAGGAAATTGTCTGCCAGTGACTCGGCAGGCTCAAAATTCTTATACCAAACGAAAGGCAGCTAAAACGGCTCAGACATCATATCATCGCGACTTGTTCTTCTCAACGACGTCTGTCCTTTTCAGCCAGTGATGTAAGCAGTAAGAGACGCGGTGAGGCGGGATGAAGTTATGCGGGAAGAAATAAACTGGTTATGAAGAAGATTTGAAATTATTGAACTGTGTAAAGAAGAGAACTCTCTCGACACGTGCGATTCATGTGAGAGTTGAGTAAGAAAGACAGAAAATTAGTTATTTGTAGCAGATGGTGGCGAACTCTCGGGCTTGTTCGCAATTGTGGGCTTTATCAGTTGTTTTGATTGCCTGAGTTAAGCATTCAGCAGTATGAGGGTACGTTCTTACATCAAGCTCTGCGGCTGTTCAGACAGGAGTTTTTTTTTTTTTGTCTTTGTAAAGTATACTCGAGAATTGAAGAATTCGTTTAGGTTCGTGTGTAATCAGTTGTGTAATTATTCCGAACTACGTGTGTTTCGCGGTGCTTCAAGTTCCGGTAGTGATTCACATCTAACAAATTGACCTTTATTCTTGATAAAGCACGGATTTCACATTTATTAATTCTTTGCATCTAATCATCAAACATACTTGCTATATTGTAAAATATAATTAATCTAGATTTCAATTGAATTTAAAAGTTAAAGATATATCTTATAGTGGCCAGCACTAAGGTTTAATGGCACTGCTGACTAATTGAACCAAATAGAGGTTTGCCCTGTTTTATCATAACTTGTAGCTGTGTACCAGCCATAATGTGTGTAGTGAGGGGAGCCTCCCTTCACGTTAGGCTCGTAATTAGTTGGGGTGCAACTACTACACAGACTGCGACCCGAGCCCGAGTGGGCACTGGGGAAAAAGGGACCCTTGTTAAAGACTGAAAAATATCCCGTTTTGTCGTTAAATCCGTACCCTGTGGGATATGAGTCGCTCCATGTCACCCCCAGGGCTTCCCCTAAAGCATGTCTAACATAAGTTCAACTCTCGCCTTTCAACGCTTCAACAATAAAATCTTGGACATGCATGCGACCCAGTTGTCCGCCACGAAATCGGTTATGATTTGCAAAGGTTATAGTGTAAGGATTATCCGTAATGTTGATGCGATAGACATATGAATATTGATCAATATCGCCTGTGGCTGGGTTGTTACCTGCAGCCATGATCATAGAACGAGCTTTATTGGCCATTTTTACAGCGCCGTGGGGCAGATTAATCAGACCATTTGAGGAGCTGCGTAGAGTGGGAAGCCAGGCATAACCATTTGGGTTATTCATATTGGGTATGGCCTTATTGTTTAAGTTTACTCCCGACATTCCACCCGAGTAAACGAAACCGTAACTGGCTAACATCCACGCTCCACCAGCGAAAGTCATGTCACAATAGGTTTGAGCCGGGGCTGTTTCACCAGGGGGCTGGATCCAATACATTCCGCTTCCGTGACTATCGCCTGCGTCGAGAATTGCTTGTGCATTTGGTGCTGGATTTTCTCTAGTTCCCAGTCTTTTTCTCACCGTGCACTGAGGTCCAGAGTAGGTCGGTGGGCACTTACAGAGGTTTTCACCGATGCACGTACCACCGTTTTCACATGGCTTCCCTGAACATTTACCTTAAAAGGAAATTGAGATTATTTAGACTTAGCAAAGCCTTCGTCGTCAAACATAAATTAGATGGTAGATACCGTCGGACCTCGATTTTCAGCTACTCGCTGGTGTATTTGCTACAGCCCATACAGCCTGGGGTATGCGTTATTATGGCCCACGCTATTCTTTTAATCTTGTTTTATTTTTACTCAATGTCAAACAAAACTCACTTTTGTGACAAAAGGCTCCGGTGTATCCCGACGGGCATGCGCACCAATGAACTTTTGGTCCAGTGCACTTGCCTCCATTGCGGCAGTGCGCATCTTTGCAACCTAGGAGTTTGAGGTTTCACATATCTTTAATGTTTGATCTCTTCATTATTTCTTAATAACCATGCGCTGAGAACAAGCATGAGCTTCAAAGGTCCTGTGAACTATGCAGAATAGCGGTTATTCTTTACTTTGTCACAAGTTCCAAGATTTTGAAATACGATGTATTGGCTTTTAGGGCTGACAAGGAAGCATATGAAGATCTCATTGATCTGAGTTTTTTTCTTTATTAGAGGCACCATAAAGATGTTTTTGTAGATCTTTCAGTTTAAATTCGTCCCGCGATTGAGAAGAAATTAGCTAATTAGGAACGTGCTGCGCGATCTCTTAGAGTGCAGTTCCGTCTTGTTGTTAGATGATTGATGCAGAATTATATTCAGAGTTTTAAGACTTTTGTACCTTGACATCCTTCGCTTTTGCAGTACTTTATTAGAGAAGCCTTGAGTTCTTCACATCTCGTAACTGTGGTATTGAGGTCACAATTAATCATCTTTGGAAAACGTGTACAGCTCTCCACTTCCTTTTCGGTTTTGTCATAACAAGCAAGGCAAGATACTGTAATTGAGTAGTAGAGGCAAAGAGAAAGGAGTGTCTTTGTGAGCGGGATGCCTGCGAAACGATTTTGGGGAACAATGCCTAGCGAAAGGAAGATTGCGAGGATTATCAAAGCATTTTGTTTTAAAAAAATACCAAAGATACTGGGGCTTTAAGTAAGTTATTTGGAAATACTGATTCAGATTGGTATAAACCTCACAAGTGAGTGGTGATCGCGCAGTCTGATTGCCCGGTTGTGGGTAGTTCTGAGAAGTACTGTTGTTGGTAGTGCTCACACAAAGGGGCAGCAAAATTTGCATTAAAACGGAATTTACTTCCGACCATGATTTCATATGACCGCATACTGTCAGAAACATTCATTAGTAATGTTCTTTTTTGTCTGTTTGTTACTCAGCTCATATGGTATGTGCTACTCTTAATAAAATATTGACCTTGATGTCGGTGAAAGCTGTGGATATTTCCCTCTATAATCTAAATGATTGTCACAGTCCTCGAGAGACTGTCCTCAGAGTTCGATAATTACTACCATTCAAAGTTATCTAGTCTCCCGGATTGCACTGATTGCGATCTGCATGTCACGCTAAAACGTATTTTCATGTATAGATAGATAGATAGATAGAAACTTTATTAAAGTGTCAAAAAACCGTCTAGCTAGGGAACAAATCCCTTACTAATTTGGGGACACCAATTAGGGGAGAATATACAAACTAAAAAAAAAACTATATACAGTAGTAGGTAAAATATCTATAGTTAACTCATTAAGAGATTTATAGTAAAAAATACACAGAAGTCAAAATGAACAAAGGCTACAGCCTGCGCAGCCATCATCTAAAAGTTCACTTATATTGAGTTGGCGTATCTTGCTTTTAAACGACGTTAGGGTTGTGACGTCCCTGATACTCTTGGGTAGTTTTGTCCATAGCCTAGGCCCTAAATATCTAATAGAGTGCTTGCCATAGGTGACTGTCTCATACCTAGGTATTGAGAAATCTGCTTGCCGCAGATTGTAATTACTATTTGGTTCTTTAAAGATGTTACTTATATATGCAGGGCACAGTTTATGCTTTACTTTATACATAAGGATGCACAGATCCTGTAAGCGACTATTTAGTAGTGTTGGCAGATCTGCCTTCTCTAATAGTTGTTCATAACTAGAATTATTATCCTTGAAAACCGCTCTAAGTCCTCTTTCTTGTAGTCTTTCAAGCTTTCGAGTGTCACTCGCTTTACAAAAATGCCACACTAGGTGACAGTACGTGAGGAATGGTAATATCGCGCTTTTGAATAATATTAACTTAGATTTCATAGGAATTAAATTACGTTGTCTCATTAGAACACCAATTCTCTGGCTGGCTTTTTTACAGATAGAGATTACATGCTCAGAGAAATTTAGCTTAGAATCTAACACTACTCCTAGAAGTATGATATTATCTTTAGTTTCAATCACAACATCATTCACGCAAATATTGCTGTCATTTTGAGTGAAGCCCAAGTTCAAAACTTGGTACTTTTTGAGGTTTCCCGCCAATAAGTTAGAATCGTACCACGTTGTTGCTGAGTTGGCACTATCCTTTAACTGGGAAGTCACAGCTGCCTGGTCTGCTCCTGCGTGGTAAATTTGATGGTCGTCGGCATACATAGACAAGTTCGCTGTTAAGCAGTAGGATAGGTCATTCTGGAAAACATTCCATAACAACGGGCCAAGCGCGGAACCCTGAGGACAGCCACAACTCACGAATCGGCTCGAACTAACATGACGGCCGATCTTTACTTGATATTTCCGTTCATTTAAATAGCTGTTTAAAAGTTGAATAGCGCTTTCCTGAAAACCGTACGCTTCAAGCTTGTTCAGAAGTAGTGGTGGGTGTAACGAGTCAAATGCCTTTGACATGTCAGTTGAAAGTATGCTCACAACCTGTTTTCGATCCCTCGCCAGTCTCCAATCTTCTACTAAATTGATCAATGTTGTTTCGCAGCTGTGAGCTTTGCGATAAGCGGATGAGTGTTGGTAAATGCGATTACCAAAGCCAGAGTTGATCTGCGCTCCAACCAACTTCTCAAGAACTTTACTTACACATGGTAAGAGAGTTATGGGCCGGTAGTTTTCCTTTGCATTCCTGTCATCCTTTTTTATATACTGGGGCCCAATGCCCATACTTCCATTCACTAGGCCATGCATTCTTGTTAATACAAGAATTGAACAAGGTGGTTAGTGGAGCGGATAATTCATTAGCACCTGTTTTTAAAGCCTTTGAAGGAATTCCATCAGTGCCGGTGGCTTTGTTTATGTTCAGCGAATCGAGAACTGCAAGGACTTGTCCCTGTGTAACCAATTCGATTTCGATGGTCTGAGTGGAATTCCTATTTTCATGTTGTATCCTCTGAACACAAGGATGGTCTCTAAAGTCCTCTATTGACTTTCTTTCAATCGCTGTACCGCCAATGCCATCCGCCAAGGTAGCAAAATGCTCAACCAATTCCTCAGCCACTTGTTGTTGATTCGTTATCATACTGCCGTTTATTTTTAAGTGGATGTCGTTTCTTTCAGTACAGCTCTTAGAGCCCAAAAATGGCTTGAAAGTTTTGAAGAACGCCTTGGGATTGATTTTCAAATCGTTTGACTTATTATACCAGTACTGTTTGATGGCGATTCTTCTTTGTTTAGTGGCCTCGTTTCTGGCTTTACGTCGTAATTCCCAATTTTCTGGCGTTTTGTCATTCAAGTACTTGTCATTTGCTTTGCGTTTAGTTCTAATCGCACTTTTCCAATGAGACGTCATGTAGGGCACATCTTTATCACGCACACGCATTTTTTTCACAGGTGCCACTTCGTCCAGTATATTGTTCATAAGTGCATTCCACACGTAAACTTGATCGTCGACGTCATCAAACAATTGTCCAACGTGCCATGGGGCAGAGGACAAAAGCTGTTTATAATGTTCAGGGTCAAAGTTCTTATAGCTCCTAAATGTGATGACCTTTGGTTTGTTGTGATTTATTTTCTGCTTCAGGACACCGTAAACAAGGTCGTGATCACTTAAGCAAGGATGGTAATTACCAGATAGCTGGAAGCTATCCGGTCTATTAGTGAGCAAAACATCTATTAAACTCTCTGTTATAATTATTCCACGCTTTTCTATTCTTGTTAGCTTAGTAATTAGACATTCAAAACCTTGTTCAACTTCCAAATCGAGAAGCAGTTTACCTTCAGGTTTGTCAGGGCGAAGTCTGTTCAGATTTAGGTCGCCAGTAACTACAACAAAATTTCCGTTCAAGCTTGCCCAGTTACAAACATAACTGAGTTCGCTTTCCAACAGTGTTTGATATTCGCCACACAGAGCTCTCGGGGGACGATAAATACCAACAATTACCATATTGTCCATATCTGTTTTGATTTCGAAGGCAATTATTTCCAGTGTCTTAAAGGATTTATCAGGTTTAAGCTGTGTCCTGACTAGCGATTGAGATATTAAAGCCATAATTCCACCGCCGCCCTTTTTCCTATCATTTCGGTAGAGGGAGTAGTTCGGAACTTTGAACTGAGCGTTGGGATAGCTCGCGTCGATCTTGGTCTCACTTACGAACATTATGTGGGCGTTGATTTTCTTGATTACTTCGGTCAGTTCTTCAAATTTATGTATAGCACAACTGTCAATGTTTTCAGGGTTGTGGCTTACCTTTAGCGTTGTTATCGGAGCAAATGTTTTCCAACTTTTCTTCTAAGTGATCGCAAATCTGTTTCACGTCAATAGACTGTGAATTCTTTGAATCTCTTCGGCACTTTTCTACCAACACGTTTGCTTCTTTTACGCAGACCTCGTAAGGTTTGTACTGAATTCAATGAGTAGACGAGACAAAAAGCCGTATAAAAATACAAATATACACTGTCTTTGGACTGTAATCGTACGAGATGTTAGTGAGTAATTTCAGTAATTGTTATTCTCTTGGATTTTACGAAACTCGTGAAACATGTCTCAAAGTAGTACTTCAGTTTAACTGACTAGAGAGGCAACTCTAGGTCACTCAGACCGAACCGGTTTCCGATTCAAAATAACTGATTCAGACCCTGTTGCATTGTTATATGAGGTATGTTTTGGTCGAATTTACAGCAACCAATTGAGGTTTTATTTAATAGCTCGCTCGTGAAAGTAGCTTTAGTTCCTCAGTGGTCAATGATTAAGTTAAAAGTCCTTGAACAGCTAAGTCATTCATTTGTACGGGTAATCACATGATGTCGAGTGCAATTTGGGATGAATCAGCACGAGAAAATTTTCAAAGGCACACCAATATGTATTCTTTGAAAAATCTACGAGTGCTTATTTATCCACATGGGCGGCCCAAGCTCAAGTCTCGAAAAAAAAGCCAGCGATTAACTCATGAAAGCATCACGCGTTGTGTGATTCGGTGTTAAGTTACGAGAGGAACCGTTGAGAATTTGAACACGTTATAAGGATTAATATGAGGAAAGAGATATGGTCGATTTACAACGATAAGTATTTCGAAGTATTAAAGTTTTACACCAAAATCAATAGCACTTACTCACGTCCTGTGTGTCCGCTGTAGTCTTTGGCGATTTCTGCCGGTTTAAAGCTTGCTTTACCATTACAGTTATTCCTGTCAAGACGAAGTCATTGACTTCGTCTTTTGACAGGAATAGGGCAGGAACAGGGCCACTTGTGATTGCACGAGAAAAATTCATATGATTTCGCGACTTTCCAGCATCTCAATCAGTCAATCAATTTCATTTCAACTTTTTGCGCTCAATTTCAACTTTTTGCTCTGTGTGGTGTGGATTGAGGTGTTCTCAGCCAATGAGTGCTGAAATTTTTGCAAGCAGATTATATTTAAAGTGAAATAAAATGGTTAATAAAACCTACCTCTGCGCAGTACTCCTTGACAGTACTGAGCGCCAACTGTGATCGGTTGTTTAGTGGAAGAACAAACTTGGCAAAACAGGGGCTCAAGGCGAGCCAGTAGCAGAAAGCTAACGCTGAAAACTTTCCCATTAGAAATTATCTCCTTCCACCTTGAACAGCTATCGTGAGTGTTGTAAAGCGAAACTCTTTGTTGTTTGGTATGCTTCTCAGCGACACCAGAACTCGATCTGTCATTTTGTCGTGCTTTTCAGTGTCGTATTTGATATACTTCCGCATACAAGTAAGACGTGACCGCCTTTCTGCCAAATTTCTAATTTTTTACTTCCTCTTCCTCATCTTTAGTCTTCTCGCCCAGCTGATTCACTTCTACATTTTTGCCCGTGAATGAGACAGTATGTTCAAACTTAAAGATGAGGAAGCAGGAATATTTATGACATGGAGTCGGTTGCTTGCTTCCTCTTTCCTGTCTGTTGGTTTAATCGAACCTCCTTGTGTCAGTTTTATACGATCACGCATAAATGACTGGGATAATCTGTGTTCGCTGAAGATTCAGATTTATTATTCTCTGTCATGTGAACACATTGATAGTTCGGAACAGATAGGTGGAACAGACCACAATCGTTGTGACAGAACTGAGGTGCATACGGACAATCGGAGTGGTTTTGACGAAATTGCATGTGAATATATGAAAATCTTTCTCACACAATCGGAACGCTTAAAATCTGTGCCAACATTAATCAGTTTCCCAGAATGAACCATTATGAGAAAAGCGACCAAGGTGGACTTCCAATAACGTGGGAAAAGGCATGGATTCAGGGAATGAACCGAGGATTCGTTCAGTTTATAACATTTTTTTGTTACGTTTGATAAGTAAGATCTCCACACAGCTTGGTAATAAAAGGATAAAAGTTTTAATACCTGCATGGATACTTGTAATTCTTTATAAAACAAATGTTTAAAACTAACGGTGTACCCAGTCTTTGTGAGCTATGAAAACAACGCCATCGACTAATTCAAATAAAACTTAATGCAGAGTGTTAATCCTTCACTTAAACCAAACAGATGTTTGCCCTGTCTTACCAAAACCTGTAGCTGTGTACCAGCCACGATGTGTGTAGTGAGGGGAGCCTCCCTTCACGTCAGGCTCGTAATCAGTTGAAGTGCATCCACTACACGGACCGCGTCCCGAGCCCGAGTGGACACTGGGGAAAAAGGGACCCTTGTTAAAGCCTGAAAAATATCCCGTTTTTTCGTTAAACCCGTACCCAGTGGGATATGAGTCGCTCCATGTCACCCCCAGAGCTTCCCCTAAAGCATGTCTAACATAAGTTCCACTCTCGCCTTTCAACGCTTCAACAATAAAATCTTGGACATGCATGCGACCCGGTTGTCCGCCATGAAAGCGGTTATGATTTGCAAAGGTTATAGTGTAAGGATTATCCGTAATGTTGATGCGATAGACGTATGAATATTGATCAATACCGCCTGTGGCTGGGTTGTTACCTGCAGCCATGATCATAGAACGAGCTTTATTGGCCATTTTTACAGCGCCGTGGGGCAGATTAATCAGACCATTTGAGGAGCTGCGTAGAGTGGGAAGCCAGGCATAACCATTTGGGTTATTCATATTGGGTATGGCCTTATTGTTGGCATTTAATGACGTTGCGTGAACGTAACCATAACTAGCTAACATCCACGCTCCTCCAGCGAAAGTCATGTCACAATAGGTTTGAGCCGGGGCTGTTTCACCAGGGGGCTGGATCCAATACATTCCGCTTCCGTGACTATCACCGGCGTCAATAATTGCTTGTGCGTTTGGTGCTGGATTTTCTCTAGTTCCCAGTCTTTTTTTTCTCACTGTGCATTGAGGGCCAGAGTAGTGAGGTAGGCACTTACAGAGGTTTTCGCCAACGCACGTACCACCATTTTTACATGGCTTGCTTGCGCATTTACCTGTAGAGAAATTTTAGCGACAGGTTTTGTCGAACAAAATCATGGTACATGTACTTTGGTTGGTACTATTACTAACTAAAGTCCTAAATAAGCAATTTTGGAGAGGTAGCTTCCAAGTGGTTGGGGAAAGATCCAATCTACCGGTCATTTGACTCACAAAGAATGACTCAAACATTTTCGAGATTATCGAGCAAATGATGTCTTCAAATCAGATAATATAATATAGAAAAGGAGCAGAAAATTTGGCTGAACTTGCGTAAAGGAGTAAGTTTCTCAAGAAACTGTGATGATGCGTCGGTGGGAGAGTATAACAGGATATTTTAGTGTTATCAACTGAGTTGATTACGTAAATTAGCCACCGTAAAAAGTTTTAAAAGCTAACTCGAGCGTTGGCCCCTCGTCAGAGCGATTGGAGGAGTTATGGGTTGTGTGTATGTTTACATGCAGAAAATGGAGCTACGCTGTTGGTGGGAACATGTTGACGAGAAAACAAGAATAACTTAATAGAATGAAAAGGGCTCGTTGATACCGTGAGGATTAAGAGTGCCAATTTGAAGGATAAAATTTTTGCTGCAGGGTTTTGCGGCTTTCCGAACTGCTTTTAGATGTAGAGAAATGCTGCAAACTGTTATGTGCTGCTTACAATTATTTGGGAAATTGAAGTGTCTAGCGACTGGTTTGGATTCCTTCCTACGTCGCAAAGGTGTTTTCGGAATGGATCTCCTCGTCGTCTTCCTGTTTTCACCAATGTATAACTTTTTGCAACAAGAGCAAGTTATGCAGTAGATGACATTGGCGGAGGTGCACGTGAAGTGGTCAGTGATCTTATGGATCTCTTGGGTCCCGACATTTTCTCTACGTTGTGAACGAAAGGACAAGTTCCTTATGGCCCCCCCCCCTCCACTGATATCTCTTTTATCTTGAAGTTATTGCCGTCATTGGTAAAATGAGTACATAATTCTCAAAACGTTTCATAATCAAAAGAATTTTGAATGACACTAAGTTACACTTACTTTTTTGACAGAAAGCTCCACTGTATCCTGCTGGGCATTGGCACCTAGGTGAACCGAGTCCAGCACAATTGCCTCCGTTGCGACAGTACTGATCTTTGCACACTATATGTAAAACCAAGCATATCTCATGTAAGTTCTTACAATATTAGCTCTTGATTTTGATTGTTGACTATTGATATACCCTGTATGTGCAACAGTTGACCCCTGCATTTTGTCATTTATTTTCTACAGAAAATCCGGGGATACCTTTACTAAATCTTTCCCTTTGTCTTACGGGTGATTGTTAGAAGGTTTTTCAACGCATTTCAAACATGATATAAAGTTGAATTAAAAGAACATGCCTATGATAGTATTTTTATAAAGTGAAGAAAAAGATTGGACCAATCAATATAAATCTGATGATCATTAGTCAGTTACGTGGCACTAATTTGCTTTTTATAAACATGTCTGGCCAAATTAAATCTATTCTAAGAAATTCAAGGATCAGATCTCCTAGAATTCATAACACTGCATGACTAGTACTCCTGTTCACTGAAAAAAAAATAGCTTTGGGTAGTTTTTTCTTTTTTAACATGTCATGCTGTCTCTCACTTCAGCTATTGATGCAGCTACTAAGTAAAAGTAGTTTTGTTTCACTCACCTGGACATTCCTTACTGCTGCAGTACTTGCTGAGTGAAGCCTTTGCTTCCTCACATTCTTTGACCTTGAGGTCACAGTTAACCTTCTTGGAAAACAATTTGCAGTTTTCTACCACTCTTTCCATTTTTTCGAAGCAATTTACGCACGATGCTTCAAATGATAAATGAAAAAACAGTTCCATTAGACCATGTGATATCTAAACGGATCAATTATTTACAAACTGACAACAAATGCAAAACATAATGAACCTCCCCTACAAGTTCTTATAATCAAATATGAGAAAAATACGATCGGTTGGGCACTTTTTGACAACCTAGTCTCCTGGATTGCAAGAGTTTGTATACAACAATTTTCATCCTTTTATTTTATTTATAGTTCTCCAGTTAATAGCTATTTTACTTAATTGGGCCGGACAACGGAATTTCCGCAACTCATGAAAATCGTACGTGCGCACTTTCCATAGAGTAATCTCTATATCTTTTCAGAACATGTCTATTGGGTGCATTTCGAGCGGTTTTTTACGGAGCGGTTATAATTGCATCTAACATCAACTTTTAGTCTAACCTTTCGCGCAGTGAATGGAACACAGACGCTTCAGTTTTTCTTGGTGTCCATCGCAAACTTCATTAATGTCAGCCTTGAGATAAGATACATTTGACATCCGGCATTTAGCGCCCGCCTCATAAGCCTCCTTCACACAATCTTCGTAACTCAAGTACTGAAATATGGAAATTACAAACGTTGATGGACGAAATTTAACCCATCCATTCTTGTGTCCGATAACAGATTCTGTGTTTACTCGTATCTAGAACAGTGTTTATGCATCTTGGTTCGAGTTAAGAATCTTGATTGAGTCGTTTCAACCCTTTTCAATCCCTCAAATTTGCGAAATTTGGTCTTCAGTAAACTGCGCGAAAAGAAGACATACTACTAACCTCTTGACACTTATCCGTTTGTCCGTTTGACGTAGGAGCAAGGCAAAAGCTCAAAGGGATGCAGCAACAGATCAATAAGGCTGCATAAAGTTGCATCTTTGCGCGCCGCCACCAACTTACTCCAAACTGAAAATATACCGAGTTGGTATGAGGACCCTGCCTTTTATAGAGCAACTTAAGGTTCTGAACGTGCAAACAGGCACGTATCAGATGCCGTTTTATCGCCCTCCTGTAGAGGGTTTAAGCTTAAGCGTAAAACGATCCGGAAATGTGCGGATCTTCTCTCGTAACTGACGTTTCTGGAACAGGAATAAAAGTATATTAATACATTCCATTTAAAATACCGTGTGAAAAACACTGATAAGGTCTCAGTAAGTATTCCAAAGTATAATTATGTTTACCTAAATTGTCTTTAGTTATAAAGGAATTACGCAAGTGTGTTATTTATTGCGTAACCAACAAAGCCGCGACAGATCAACCTTTAAATCACCTGAATGCTACTGTGTCTTTCCTGTACAGATAGACCGTTGACATTCTCTTGCTTGTTCCTCACTATAAAACCTGAACGAAGGCAGCGCACTTGTAAGTCTATTGCGAGCGACATGTGCAAGAGGGGTGGAATGCACCCCTCGCTGAACATGCAACTGATTATAAAAGGGTCGACAGGCTTTAGGACTGTATGCGACTTTTTCCAAGATAGGGCCGCAATGCAGCAAAAGAAAAATAGTGAAATGATTTGACGAGGAGAAGGTTGATGACAAATTTTTGTTGACAGCTTAACCTGACTAAATCAGTAGAAATTATTTGAAGATACACTAGAGTGACACTATTTAATACAAACATGTCAGCTTTGGGTGAATTATCGGTTTAGATTTGTAGAGCAAAGCAAAACACTCATGAAGCTATCCAATTTGTGTTTTTTTCTTCCGCTACTGTTAAAAAAAGACCTAGAACCTTAATTGATAAAAAATAAAATGTAGTGAGCATTTAACTTAACAATACTCAATCACAATAGACATTATTTTCAATTAATAAAGCAACGAATGTGTTTTAAACTGTTATGAAAACGCGACAAACATGTTTAAACATGAGAAAATCTTTTTCGTCATACCTTGTGTTATCCGCGTCATCGGGTCAGACTTGTCACCAGGGCATGGCCAAATCCCAATAATCTGCGTAAGCACGCACAGAATAGAGACACGTCCACATTTTTACAACTTCCTTGACATGTTTTCCTAGAAAAACGTAACGACAAAGAAATCCGTCCTTGCATTTACCAATTTATACAAGAATGCGTTCTGTTGTCCTTTAGGTTAAATTTTACGATTTTTCTTATAGAAATATTTTGTGTACGAAATTGCGCTGTTTAAGTTACATTCAAAGACAATTTTCGTCCCTTCTTTTCGAGGATAGTCTTACATTCAGGGATATGGAGTCATTTAAGATTCTTGGTTTAAGTTGAATCCAACCGTTTTCCCTCTCCCAGACCCCCAACTGCCATCCTTGCCTCCTTACCGGCTAAGTTTGCATTTGACGTGTCTTTCGGTTGCGAGGACTTTGGAAGCTAGGAAGTAAATTTCTCGAACCATGGTAAAAAATGGCCTTAAGGTTTGGGCGACCATGCTAAAACCGTAGTGCTCGATAAGTGGCGGATTATGTATGTACCGCCAGGCAATTGCTTCAAATTCTACCTTTTCACAGCTTTTTCTTAGCGTCAAGTGACTTGCACGTCACTCGAACTTTTCGTAAATGGCCTTCAGACCACAGTGATCGATTACACGAATGCAGAGTTTCCTGCACACAAAGGTTGCTTCTTCTAAGAAATTTACGTTTAAGTGAAAAAGCCTTACTTTCCTCGTTCGAAATAAATACACACTTCCCAAGAAGACAAATACTCTTCAGATTATATTTTACAACTTATGAAGTTCGAAATGTTGCAACGAAGAAAATTTACAGTGAGGAGATGGTCGAGAATGCGACATTTTTAGGAGAGAGTAGCAATGCTTGAAGATTTCAACAGGCATCTGCTAATAGCGGCCGTAAAGTTAGAGAAACACCTCCTGTTTTGCTTTTGAATCGACGTTTCTTCCCTCGAGAGGGGGGGAGAGAGCACATTACCTTGATCTTCAACCTGTAAAATGGGTTCAGACTCCTCTTTACTTGTTATCAAGATAAGTAAGTAAGGCTTAAAAGAGGTTAAAGGGGTAAGTTTCTAAAGAAACTATGGAGCTGCGTTGTTGGTAGAGTATAACAGGATAATTTGGCATTATCACCTGAACTGATATATTTAAATTGGCCAGCGTTAAAAGTTTCCAAGCTGACGTTTCGAGCGATAGTTCTTCGTCAGAGCGAATGGAGGAATTAACACACATACAACCAAAACTTCTCCATTCGTTCTGACAAGGGACTATCGCTCGAAACGTCGGCTTTGAAACTCTTAACGGTGGCAAATTTTACGATATATCAGTTCAGGTGATAATACTAAATTACCCTGTTATACTCTCCCACCGAAACTCTTAACGGTGGCAAATTTTCGTTATCAACTCAGCTGATAAAACTAAATTACGCTTTTAAAAAAGATTACTTCGTTTTATTAGGCCATTTAAGGACACTTGACCCAAAGGTTGGCTGGAAACCCCTGTCAAAATCGGCTGTCGAAATTATTTCCCGCAAGTTTGTGAGAACATTTTTTTATATTAATTACCTTTATTTACATATCAACATTCTTCCGTTTATTCTTGGCGGACATTAGATCGGACATAAGATCGGGTAAAGATCATGCAAAACATGTTTAGTAACACCGGTTTTGACTTAATAAAAATCAGCAATAGAAACTGAAAGACTGACTTTATAAAGGGTTCAAGTAACCAAACTGAAGTCGACAAACATCAGTTTAATCGGCTTTTATCAAGAAAGACATTTCAAACCGTGTTTGGCAATATAGCTTGAAAACGTGTTTTAGCTCTGGTGTGAATGAAGTATTTTAAAAGTTGTAATCCGTGCTTTGAATTTATGACTAGACATTTCTAAATTTATGTATCACATGACAAAAGGAAATTAACACCCCATATTGATGCTGAAAGCCTCGTAATATTTTATTGTTATTATTTTATTTTTTCTTAATGGTCACTTTTTAGGACAATGAAAAAGTTTTGAATTTGAGAGCAATATTCAAACAGGAAAAAAGCTGAATATTGATAGATTGAAAGGTTATTTTTTTGTTTAGATTATTGTTATTTTTATTTGAACAATGGAGGTGCTCTAATTTACGTTCAACGGTCGCGTGAACAGGAAATATTAATTAATATTACCAAATTTCAGCGTTGAAACGTTAGTTGTAATACGTTATATGTCAAGAAAATGTCTCATATCAGTTCACTTTTAGGCTTTTTTTTTCTACACAATGACTTTTAGTGAGCTTAATGACATCATATGGCGAAAGCAAGAAATGGGAGATGACGTGGTAAATAAATATTGAGCCGTGTCTTCCTTGATATTGCTGGAAATTTAAGTTGATTCGAGTCTTCTACTTATTTGCCTGAGTACCCACCCCAAAATGCATCAATATAAAATCGCTAATATTCACTCGAATATACTCGTTCGAAGTTAAATGTGACATATAACCCTGCGACAATATAATTCCTTGTAACGTGTTTGAGGCGAATGAAATAAAATGTTATTCTAGATAAACCTCAGACTCTAATATGCATTCAATTTCCTGTTTCCTTCCTGAGGCATGTGACTTTTCTTGAGTAATTGAGAATTTTACACACCTTGTCAGTTGAGTCACAATGACTCTATTTTTTTCACGATTGGTTTCATCTCTGATATAAGTATATAGTTTTCGTGTCTAGAAAAAGAACCGCGGTCAATATATTTGGAAAGCAAATGAGGTCGTTGGATATTGTTTTCTCTCTTTTTCTGGTCCATACACAATCCGCCGATTTACAATCTCCTAGTAAAACAATATTGCAAGTTGAAAATCTAGAACCGTCACTGAGAAAAAGGTGAGAACATCTCTTTTTTTAGAGGTTAGGTCACAACAATGGTATGCTTGATGAGGAACCCTGAGCAATTCAATATCAAAACATGGCGAGTCTTTTTACCTTTACTTTCATAGAGTGCATCGCTTTTTTTCTGAAGATGACATCCTCAAAATGCCTCAACTGTTAGCCGATGAAAGTTGAGAATATTAACTGTAAATCCACGATGTAGTCGTTGGGGAATCCATTAGCAGGATTTTGAGGGTGTGGGCGTAGTGTTTGAGATTAGAATAGGTAGGCGTTTTGAAATTTAGTTGATACAGCCCATTTCAATATCGAGAAAACTTGTTTTTTTTTACCCTTTTTATCCATTCTATATTTATCACGCATTTAACTTTTTGAAATCAAAATCTGTAGCCTGAGCGTTTTGAAGTGGAAAATCGTTTTATTGTAAGTATGGTTTGTTGTTTTCAGTGATGGCCTTATGGCCGCCATATTAGCATGCTCAACTTGTGCAGCAATAAGTCCAAACTAGCACAGATTTTTCCATTTCCAAATACTATTCACTAGATAACTAAATTTTAGTGAGCAAGTTCACGATTGAAAATGGAATTTGGACAACCAAGCTGTTTTCTTCCACTCAAGCCGAGTTCAATTGTTTGAAGATTTGTTTTGTTTACGCAAAACAATCTGTCTGCCATAACTTGTTCATACAATGATGTTTTTAGTTTCCTTAAGGCTCCTTAAAACACACCACAAACTATGAAGAGTTCAAGTCTATGGTTTAAATAAACCTCTAGTAAATAAAGCTAAACAAAAATGCCATTCAAATAGTGCTAATGCGTGTCCAATGCGGTGAGTTTGATGTGGCGATCGAAATTGTCTATCTCTCACAAAAGGAAGAAATATTTCTTCCTTTGCGTACGAGTTTGATCTTTATTCTTTTGACCTGTCATTAGGTACATTTCATAAAATTTCCGCTTCGATCCTATTTATCTAACAATGTATTTAGAGAAAACATGTTACTGGGCTCAGTGTTTCGTTGCAATTGGATTGAGTTATTTTGCGAGACATTTCTTTCTGACCTCATTCTGAACTGAAGTGAATTGCGTT